GGTTTTGGGGTTTTTTTGTGTGCCCAGTATTACTATTTGTATTTGGTTAAAAAAATGTTTTAAGGTTATTGATTGCCAGAATCCCAGTATTAACAAGGTGATATGCATGCACAGTAGAGAATAGGGCAATTCATTACCTAAATTATTTAATTTTAACCTCCCAACATGCTAGCACAGTATAAACTTAAATCATTTATATGAAATGAATGAAGAATATTAGAGAGAGGCTTTTTGGAGGGAAGAATCCTTTTTGAGGAGGTTTCTGATCCTCAGGATAGTTTCATGCAGTTTCTGTCCTAATACACAGGTTGACATGGAGGCTTACGAAGCCAATGTCTCAGTTCCCTGGACCCTCTACTTGACTTTACCCTTCTGGATAGTTGACTGAACTAGGACAATATAAAAGAGTCGCCCTTGAGCTCCCATGAGCTTGGGCTGAGATTATGTCCTACTTTGTGTGGAAAATAGTGATGGGTAATGTTTTGTTTTGGTAGTACCAAGGATGAAAAAGAAGTCTAGGGTCTGTGGACTGAAGGTGGAGGAGATGGAATAGCAGGAGGAAAAATAATCTCAGCGTTAAATTAATTTTTTTTTCAGTTTGCCAAAACCCAGTAGTCTATAACTAGAGAAGACATGACAAATAAATAATAGAAATTTGTCCTTGTTGATGGCTTGGGCACTTTTTTAAGTAGCAAAACTTTGTATACATGCATTAGCTCGTGAGTGAATCGGAGAAGCTAAAAAACAGGTTTTGTTTCAGTAAATTGCACAGAAATGTTAATCCAAACACTTTGAATTAACTACACTGTGTTTAGGAATTTCTTAAACAAAAAGAAAAAAGGGGGGAGGGTTCTTCCTTTAAACTATCCCAGTTCACTCACCCATTATTGTGAGAATATTTCCAAAACAGATCATAAAACGATTCTCTCGAAAATGTTAATGCGGATCTGAAGGAAGAGAATCCTGAAATAGTGGAGATAGCTGTTTTAGGTCCAGCTCAAGATGTCCCATGATAGCTAAACATTCTCCAAACTGAGGGTGCTGAAAATGACAAGGTGTCTAATTTTAGGGGCCAGTTTCCCAGTAATGATCATGGTTATGATATTGTTATTCACTTAAACTACTAATTATGCATACATGGCAAAGGAATAAAAATTAAGCATACTGCATTTTTCAACTTTTGATAAAAGTTTTATCATAAATGCCCCTTGCAGCCTGCCTTCTGGTTTTCAGATTTAAGAACCAGACTGGACTAAGTGCTCTAAGCACTTCTGACTGTCCTTGGTTCCATTGTTACCCCCCAGTGTGTGTTGGGAGCATGCAGAGGGGCAACAAATCACACAGATTGCCTACATAAACAGTCTCCTATGCTGGTGAAAGTGCTGTTACTCACATGTCTTCAGAGTGTCTGGAGTCCTTCCAGGAAAACTCAGGTTTCAGCTCTTACCTGGATGAGCAGAGAACTCTTTCATGTGCCAAGTCTTCACCACCAAAGAGATGATGGTCCTGACCTCTACTACTACTTCAAACAGAAGGGCTGGTATTGGACCCATTTTCCATGAACTTTTGTCTGTTAACCTTCTCCTTTCTGTCACTCAGGCACTGGCAGTTGAGGCTTCCCTAACTGATCACTAAAAGGTTTGGGGCAGCTAGGACTCTAAGTTTAAAAAAAAAAAAAAAAAAAATCTGTGCCACTCTGTACTTGGTAATTTAGGCTTTATGATTGGAACAGAATATAATGGGTGTCTGCACAAACCCTTGGAGCATTAGAAGTGCTTTGTGTGGCAACTACTGAGTCACAAAGACTACCCCGTGGTCTAACAGAGCAGGGATGTCAGACTTACAGCCTGCAGGTTGGATCTGGTGCACAGAACTAGGTCATTTGGCCGGTGGGGCTTGCAGAGGTGCCAGGAATTTGGCAGTGATGCAAGTAGGGATGAGGCCTGCTGCTGAAATACAGGGCACAGAGCTCTCCATTGACAATGTGTGTTGGCAGTGGGGGTGAGCAACAACTGTGTTAACCCCTGTGCCACCACTTGCTTTGCCACTGCCATCACTCACTTGCCTGCTGCTGCCACCACATCCGGATTCAGCCCACAAGAAGCCCAGTGGTCCAGTCCCGCCTGAAGTGGGGGGATGAGTTTGACAGCATAGCCAGAAAGTGGGCTAGGTAATCTCAAACATCCTATTCCTTGAGGTGATACTTCAAACTTCTTGAAGAAGATCTCTTCTTAATGTGTAGTTCCACTGAAGGAGAGGCATGGAGAATGAAAGTTTCTAACAGTACAAATCATGAATCTTTTTAAGGGTAAATTGTTACTATGTAAAGCATTGGCTAGCATCTGCAGCAATTGTGTAATGCTGGAAAGTTTGTTAACTGATAATATTTAGTTTTAACTACACTTTGAACCTGAGGACTGAAACTTTAGTTGTGTCTTATTTGGCTCTTGGAAGATGTATTTGGGGATGATGTCTTGATCAGTTAATGAAGGGGATAATTATGCATCTATTCCATTTATCTGATTCCTAATTTTAATTATTATTTTGTATGTATTTTTACAGAGTGAGAGCAATATGTGTGAAAGAATCAATATTTATTTTGTTTAACAGTGTTGTATTATATATTTCTTTTAGATTCCAGTCAAGAATATACAGATTCAACTGGCATAGATCTACATGAATTTTTAGTAAATACATTAAAAAATAATCCCAGGTAAATTGAATGAAATATTTTGGATTGATTTAATGTTGACATTTCTTTAATTGAGAACAAAGTTCTATAGTTTAAAAAATAGTGAAGATATTCAAAAGTCACATTTTACTAAATCTAATATATAATCATGCTTTAAATGCCGTCATGTGGCACTGTTCTCTTCCATCTTTGAGAAGAGGTCAGTCTGGCAGGGTCACTGGTCTTGTGCAGGGCTCTACCTTCCCTTCACCCTGCCCCTGTCCTCTCAGGCTGATGGTAGATACTCGGTATTGGTTTAGAGTGGTGGATGCCCAGGAAAGTCTCTTCTCAGGTTCTGCCAAAGTTTATTTTACAGCTTCTTGACATCTGCTTCCTCTAGCTGAATCTCTCCTTAGCTTAGCTAGTTGTGCTATTCCTGGGCTGCACTTCACTTCACTTCGCTTCTCTCTCTTATTGTCTCTGTGCCTTCCTTCATGAACTCAAAATTTCTACAATTATCCTTGTATCAACTTATTTAACTCTTCCCTGTCTCTTCTTGGCCTTACTTCAGGCCTTACAGACTTAATCTCCTTGAAGACCCCAGGTGGAGGATATAGAGCTCTGTTTAACTATAAATCAAATCCTTGGGGAATCCTTCTCCTCAGCTGTTCTTCATTTACATGGGGAAAGTAAATTCAAAGGGAATTTCTTATTCCCAGCCCCCAATGCTTCCAATTCCTTCACACACAAAAAAATCCCTCTTGTTTCTTCCCTGTTTTGATGGCTCAGGCTGTCACCATCTGGCTCATGCCCTGCTTTTCTTCACTCAGGTGCAGCGTGCAAATAAATCCCTTCTTTGCTCTGGCCGCCTCAGTTTCCCTCAACTCCATTCCTTTCAGCAGATCCATACTCTCCCTCTTCCCAGCCAGTCCCTGCCAGCCATCCCATGGGGGATATCTCCTGTTTGGTCCCAGCTCTAAGTATTTGCTGGGAGAACCCACACTACCCCGCCATCTGCTTTTACTTATCTCTTTGGGGAGTTGTGGGTAATCCTCACTTGTGGTTCATCAGGGTCTTAGTGGCTCATGAGGGTTTGTCTGGCTGGGATCTCTTCCTCCTTTAGTCTTCACAGCTCCTGGTCTCATGGGGTTGTTCCCACTCTGGGGGACACCAAACACCAGGCCTTTCTTCCGCATGCTCTTTTAAACTACTTGGTTCTCTCTCTGGACCAATCGGTGCAGGCTCCTTGGGGCATGTGTTCTCATGCCCTCAGGCCCTGCCTATTTCCTGGGTTTTCCCTGAACCCTCTTCCCCAGCACACCAGAAACGTGCTGCTCGCCCAGACCCATCGTGGTAAGTTTCACGCCAGTGCAGCCGGCTCCCTGGGAGTATAGCAGGCTATAGCACCATTCACAAATCAAGATCTGGAACCATTTGAGAGTCCTTCTGGAGCAGAACAACTACCATGATAGTAGTTTCCTTTTGCCTGAGAGCACCATCTCATCCACCGTAATTTCTTCTGACCCTGGTGGTTAATGACATTGAAAAGGATGTTTGTCTTCTGCTTCCTTCATGACAAGAGAACACATTGTCACTTAGTTGGTCCAGTAGAATGTAGCTCAGTAGAAGATAGTAAACATTTGGCCTCTGAAAATACCTGTTCTGAAATGCTTACAAATGCAGAGACGTTTTGTGATCCTGCTGCTAATTTGCCATTGTTACCTGGTCCTTATTTGAACAAACCTATGTGGGTTTTTTTTTGCCTTTCATACATTTGCAGTTGTTGAAGAATCTTATTTATGAGATGTGTTGTATGTTCTTATTTTCAGGGACAGAATGATGCTGCTGAAATTAGAACAGGAAATTTTAGATTTCATTGGTAATAATGAGTAAGTGCTGCATTCTTTTAAAGAAAAAAATATTCAAAATCATTCTTGTTGTTTTGTAAAACCAATATTTTTTTCTTTCAGAATTCCACGAAAGAAATTCCCTCCAATGACCTCTTACCATAGGATGCTATTACACAGAGTAGCTGCTTACTTTGGATTGGAGCACAACGTGGACCAGAGTGGGAAGTCAGTCATAATAAATAAAACTAGCAGTACAAGAATGTAAGTACAGTTGTTTTTGAAAAAAAATCTTCCATTTTAATACATGGGTTTGACAGGCAATGGAGTTCAGACAATGATAACAACCTACATCAGTTCAACTCTTGGGGCTTGCTCAAGCAAGTGGTGGTGCCAGGTAGATCTTCATACTCCAGATGTAATGTGGAATATGAACTGCTTCACTTACAGAGCTTTGTATAAAACCCTAACTCCTTGTGACTTGAGAGTACTGATTGTAGTCCTGGCTGAGTCCCACCATGGGGTAATTCCTTGCATTTCAATATGAATTTATATCAGTTATTTCTCTTACACTCTAAATATATGCACACTAATTTTGGATGCATTCCCAAAGGAAACGGGCACCAGACGTATGCACACATACGTTCTAGATAGTCTCAAAAAAATGAGCACCAGATCTTGATTGGTGGCACGCTGGCTTGAACCTTCTCTGTTTACTTTGTTACTACTTGTATTTCTGTCTCTTGTATGAATTTTGTCTTGGCTGTTTAAAGACAGAAACTAGAGATGAATTGTATTAAAATCATAGTTTCCTGATTGCCATCAGAATTTAAGAATCCAAGTATAAAGAACAGTTGGACAATTTTGAAAAAACTTTCAATCTTACTTTAATATGGTACCTTTCAACCTAAAGATTGGTGTTTAGTAATTAATAGGATTGTCTTCCCCAAAGAGACAGGTCCTAACGTGCTCTACAAAAGAGGTATGCATGTGACATAAAAGGGAGCATCGTTTGGGTAGACAGTAGCAACCAGATTGACAACCTACTACGGTCTGCATCTTCATGGTGGATAGGACATGGGTAACATGGGAACATGCGATCTCTACAATTCACCCAGCTGCTTAATTCAGATAACTTACCTGTTTTCACACATACTTGTCTATATTCACATGCTTTCTCTGTCTCTGTCTTTTTCTCAGAAATATGAAGGGCTAAATTTTTCCTTAGACCATAGCTGTAGGAAGCCTGTATTTCTTTCCATGTTATAGTTCATTGCTTTAATTATCCAATACATTTTAGTGAAACTTGATTGTTGAGCAAGGCATGCTAGGAAACTGGATGTCCTGAATTCTAGTCCCATGGAGTACCTCTGATTTGGTCCTCAATTTTGTAATCTGGAAAACCAACAAATGGAGGCATTTGGTTTTATTATTAGTCAGTATCTTTAAAGCACTGTGAAAATGAAAAGTAAATAAATTTCAAGATGTGCCAATTTTTTGGTGGCTGTTTAGTATTTTCAGAGCATCTATTTGAAGGCTTTTGCTTTAGCTTTGAATTCTAAGTTGGTGTATCTCATCTATATACCTACCAAGTCTGATACCCGAGGCTAAAGAGTGTGATAATTTCAGGTAGGGAATAAGTAGCATTCACAGATTAACTCTTTTTATTCATTTTGAAACCAAATATTTTTATCCTTTCCAGCCCCCCTTCCTCCTCCCAAAACAACAACAATAAACCTACCCAAACATGAAACAACCCCCAAAAAATATACCCCGTCTTACAAATGGCCTCTAGAAGCCCTCATAAACATAATTACTAATTAGCAGGCATTTCATTTAACCTATAGACAATAGAATGATTCTTTAATGTTTTCAGTATTCTTATTTTAAATCACATGGGATATAAAATAAGAATTTAGAAAGGAAGCCTTGGAGGAGATCTGCTCCATATTGAATAAAACCGAACTTGCCTTTTCCTCATAGGCAGATTCCCTGCTCCAGCGCCGATCAGTGATGTTACTGACATCAACAACCCAGTGCACACTGGGACGTCTCAGTGGAGTGGGAAGTTGGTGATGGCAGGGCAATAAATTCAGGGACCTTTAAAAGAAAGAGGTAAGACAGTCTAAAGGTTCTCGGAAATGCCTGCTAATTATGTTTGGGCATCCAGTAATCATTAGTTAGGTTTCATTAAAAGTACCACGGTTAACTTTTTACAGAAAAAAATAGATCCAGATTTTATACAAATGCCCCACATAATAAATGAAGAAGGAAATACAGATTATACAAATATATAATGTTTATACCCTTGGATAGTCGCATTATTTTCAGTTGTCTGAGAACAGATTGGGGTGTAAGTTGTTAAAATTGGCCTTATAGGTAGACAGTGGTTTTGGAAACAACAGTTTGGAGAAAGTCCCATGATCTTTTCATGAAACTGATTGTGGTGGTTTTTTTTTTTTTTGTTTGTTTGGTTTTTTTTGTTTTTTTTTTTACTCTAAATCTGACTTCTGGTTATGTTCTTGTGAAATCCTGGCTGTCTCAGTGACTTTATCATTTAGTTTCCTTCTGCTTTTGTTTTAAAGGTTTGTGTGTGTTCCATCACTCCCATCTCCTATCCTCTGGTACACCTTGAAATGAGTTTGCAGGTGTTTTTGTCTAACTGCTTTAACACTCAATCTCATGAATGCCTGAGGTCCTTTGTGTGGCTACTGCTGTGGATTCATGGGGGAACTTCTGAGTTCTCAGTGGTATCTGTTTGCTTGACTCCTTTCTTTGGAAATTGAATATGTGCTTTGAAGGAGGAGCTGATTTGGTATGCTGCATGGCAGCAAGTGTATGGGAGGATTTAGGTAACTTTTTGAATTAACAGGACAATACATTTTTACTGAAACCTATCATTTCAGTCGGGATAAAATACTTGATATAAGCAGTACTGTTTTTGACAAGTCTGTTTCCTTTGGTATCAGTGTATCCTCTTTAAATGTGTAAGTGCATATACTGTATATGAATGTATGAATTACTTGCAATCTGTCTCAAAGACAACTTTTTCTTTCTAAATACTGTTCTAGACCTGATCAGAAGTTTTGTGAGCATATAAAGGATGAGAAAAGTGAAGATTTTCAGAAACGGTACATCCTTAAGAGAGATAACTCAAGTTTAGACAAAGATGATAACCAGGTAAATATAAGAAATTTTAATTATTTTTTAAATAGATGCCTTGATTACAAATTCATACTACTCTCCTGTAGAAATTGGTACTTAATCGCTTATTTAATTTAGATGCGAATACGATTAAAAGATGACAGAAGAAGCAAATCCATAGAAGAACGCGAAGAAGAGTACCAGAGAGCTAGAGAACGAATATTTGCACAAGATGTAGGTATTAAATGAAGAGGAAAGCTCAATGGCCTACTTATCCAAGGAACCTTTTATTTCAGCCTAACCACTTCAAAAATACATGTACACACAGTTCAGAATTTGTTTATAAATATTTTTTCATATGGTATTGCTTTCCTTCTTTGTGCAAGGGGCACAATCTTGCTGAAAGTATTGTTTGGTAGTGTACAAAAGGCATAATCTAAAGGCAATTTAAATTATGGGGAACTTAGTTTACTTTAACAGGATCTGGAACAGGCTCACAGAGTACTTGCTTCCAATTTTCTCCTATTTCTGTGTAGTCTCTTCCCTCCTCCTGATACAAAATTTGTGGAATTTGGACAAGCAGTGCATTAAAGGTTTTAATCTGACAAGTAACTGTATGAAGTAGATTACCAGGTTTCACTATTGTGTCTTAATTCCATATCAAATTTGCCTAGTTTTCAAGTTGCAATATGATATTTTTATTCCTGGTGCTGTGGATTCTGTCATGGATCTAAAAATCAGTTGGTCTGTGTCTCACTTGTACATTATCAAACAATGAAGATTCTGCAACTATGATTTAGTTAATAGTTCTCGATGATGTTTGAGGAACATTATAAAGATGCAGGGGACAGAAAAGTATCTTAATCTCTCCTAGAGTGGCATTAATTCCACATTACTAACTTTAGGAGATAAATTTTACTGCATCCAGATATTTTGAAATGCATTTATATTCATACATATTATCTACCAACACACAAACAGTCTACTGCTTTTAGCTCTATATTTGTCTCTCTTAGCTTTTATATATTCACTTTCTCTGTCGTGTCTCATTAGAAAGTGTTTACCTGAATATAAGAAACAATAGTTAAACTAAAAATACTCAGAAGAGTTCTTTGAGCACATGTCTCTGTATAGCCAGTGTTGGTATGCTTGCAGCCCATATACTCCAGCTTGGATTTTTTTAGGTCTGCAGTGTCCATTAGGGCCATGCCCATGCCATGTCAAAAAGTCTGTACTGCTTCCATTGCACTCTCAAGAAGGAAACCTTGACATGTGGTGGAGTGGCTGCTCCGAGGGGGCATTTTTTGAGCTGCTCTCAGGCTTGCTGGAGGTCTTGGAAGTGCCCACATGAGTATGTATTAATGGATGAGAGATGCTTGAGTGTCCTACCCTAAGAGCACCACAGAAGGGTGCAGACATACCATGAGTGTCCTTGTGCCTCCCACTTGAGGTATTAAATGAGAGAGTGACCCCAAACATCCTCAAGTTCTTTCTTACTGCTATGGCTACATGTCAGGGTGGTATCCTTTTCTTGATTATGTAGATCACTTTCTGTTGTTTTAAGTATCTTTAAATACTTGTTCAGATTAGGATTTTTTAAATTCTGAAATGCAAGTCTAATCTTCATGACAGAGCAGAAATTGTGGAGCAAGGAGCACCACTCCCTCATGGGCATAGAGCTAGTTTCACCTTCTTGAGCATCATAGTGCTTATGGTTGGAAGGGACCTAAACAGATCATCAGGTCCGACCCCCTACCCCAGGCAGGAACAGGTGCCAGGGTCATATCACCCCAGCCAAATATCTGTCCAACCTCTTGAGGACCCCCAAGGTAGGAGAGAGTACCACCTCACTTGGGAGCTCATTCCAGAGTCTTAGCACTAAAAAGCAGAAATCCTGTTATAGTGCTTTTAAGCTAATTCAAAGCCCCAGAAGTGTTCAGTTAGTATATACACAAGTGCTCATCACTGTACCTTGAGTACAGCTCCTTTGAAAAGTCATATATCATGTGGTTCCAACTTTTTCCAATTCCAGTATCATCACCTAAAGCAGTCTTTGAGCCTTTGCCATTGATTCATATGCTTCCTGTATCTAGTTACTAAGCTTTTTGTACTAACTGAAAACTTCAACATTCTTTTGGCACCAGAGTCGCTGCTACTGTCAGTGGTCAAAAATTTTTCATTTTGTACTTTCCACTTGGATCTTGGTCTGTTGACTTCAGCAGAAGCCAGATTTTACTCAACATGTTTTCTGGACAAGTTGTATTCCTCCTTTGACACTTAGCAGTACTAGTTAAATAAATGTACTGAGGGTTTACCTACCACTCCCTCGCACATGGCTCATGCCTAGAGGAGGAGCACTCTTTCTGCTTCTCGAGTTTAGGTAACAACAGGGAGGTGACACCATTTCATGCTCAATAAGATAGATGTGCTAGCTATGGTCAGGCCACTTAATCCCCATACCTCATAAATACTAAGCCTTACTACAATTATCCAAGAGCAGGATTTTAAAAACTCCCTTACTACTTTCTTCATAGGTCATACCATCATACTTACACCAGCTTCCTTGGCTTTTTTGGGCATCATGGGGCTCACAACCAGCCAGGCAGTCAGCCAACAACTAGATTTTCCTCTCTGCCAAGAAACAGGGAGCACTATAAGCAGCTTAGACACTCTGACAAGATGCTACAAACTGCCAATCTCACAATTTCAGCCTTTAGCATCAAGTATGTTATTACATAGGATGGGGGACATGCTGTAGATTCCAAAGGAAGTTGTTCCAGAAAAATTGCATGATTTCCTGTACATGTTCATATTAAGAAACCTCATAATGCCCATAAATGAGGCCATTTTGGAGCCAGTTGGGCTTGATTCCACTTGATTTCCAGCCATTTTCTGGAACCCACTCCCATGAGAGCTTGTTATTTTAGCTGAATTTCTTTTTCCATGGATTCAGTTTCAAGACAGTAACTCTGGCCTCCATAAGTCCGTCTCTAGGTTCATAGGACTTGTACACAGCTCTCAGCATTATCTATGTTTTATTTTCATATAGCAAACATAGGAGGTACTTAAAATTCTGGGTTAGCAATCCAGAGTTCTGCCATTTGATCTGTCATTGCCAAAGACTTATCTGTACCTAAGCAACTAGCTCATTTGCAAAAAGTCTCTATCACAGGTAACAGGCTCCATACAGACTCCATTTGCTTGATTCCTTAGGAGTTAGAACCAGATAAGGAAACTCCATATGAATTTCAAAAGGATAGATTTTTGTAGCAGCAGTTCCAGGATGTTCGATGGCAAAGGTATTTCTGTCCCAGGACAGATTCTGCTTCATAGCTGGTCTTATTAGTGATTTATATACCTGTTTTGTGAACATAGCATGCGTCTCAGCACCGTTCCTGGGGTCAAAACAGAGGCCATGCAGAAAAACTTTGAGTGTATAGCTATTTGTTTCTTTTTTTATTTGTCCATTAAGGCAATCTTTGTTGTAACAAAATTGTTGTCTTAATGGTGGAAATCATTCAAGTTTCAGGGCAAGAACTCCATGCTTTATTTCTTAGGGACAGGGACAACTTTAGGTTGCCCCTAATTTTTTTGCTGAATATAATCTATGGCCATCTCAACTCAATTTTACTTATTTTATTTTACAAGCTGCATTTCAATGAAGGACAAGTTAAGCTTCCCCCTTACCTGCACTTCTGGTGCTATCCTTCCGAGGTAATACAAGCTGTTCAAGATATCCCTCAAGTTCTTTTTTTGTTTTTTTGTTTTTTTCAGCTTATGCACATATAATGCAAGTCTGACAGTCATATCTGCCTGAAGTTATGTTCAGGAATGGCTTAGGTCCTTCATTGAGGATTATTCCCATGTCCCTGTGCCTCAGCCAGCTGTTGTGGCTTCCATGAAAAGTGTTTCACTAATGGAAATGCGCAGGGTAGAAGCTTGAAGTTCAGTGCATACATTCATTCTGAAATTAGCTCTGAGCAGAAGCACTAAAGTCTTATGGTTATATTGGACATTTCTCTTCCATTTACTGTTTGCATAGACTCTTGTGGTTTAAGGAACTGCTCATGCATCTCCAGCAATGGAATATATATTGGTTCTTCCCTTACAGTCACTGTAAGTCATGTGTGCTGGCAAGATGTGCTATCCATGTCTATTCCATGACCTATCCTCCTTCCCCACTGCTATTAATGTTTTAGAACACCTGGATTCTGCACTGGCAAAGAAACTGAGGGATGGTTGGGGCCTTGCCTCACTGATTATGCCTTTGTATGGGAGACACTAGGACACTTGGGTTGCAGGTGTAGTCCTAATGAATACTGCTGGCAAAAAGAATCCAAACCTGAGTGTATAGGATATAAAGTTTACCAATAGCAGAATATATATTGACAGCAGATATTAAAGAACCACAATTGTTGTAAGGTAAGTACATGTTTGTTTTACCTGCTTTTTATATCTGATCAAAATAAAATCAAAAGATACCCTGCCATGAAAACAGAATATTCCTGTTTTGTGAATTGCTGTTCAGTACAAAGGAACAGAACTTAGATAATTTTGACTTTATCTTGGCATTTGTTTTTTGGCATAATCTTAATATTTCAAAATATATATTTGAACTGAATAGTCATCAAAATGTTTCCATATTGATTAAATAGATACCTGAAGTTTTGATTTTCTCTTAATAGTCCATAAGCATTTCACACTATTAATAATTGACTGGTGTGGGGAGATGGAAAAGATGTTTAACTTTTCAGATAAATAGCGCGTTTTTTAACAGCCTGACTATAGTGATTCTTATTGATTACATCTTACTCTTCTACACTCATAAGATTTAAAAATAACTAATTGGTTAGTAACAGTTTGAGTCAAGGAGAGGTTGTTCTTTTATTTAAAAAAACATACAAACAAACAAAAACACCCCTCTTGCTACATTGGTTGGATACTAAGTCTCAAGCTTCTAGTATGAGATGCAGACAAATTTCCCTAATGTTGTGGGATATTTGTAGAGGCATAACTGGCCAGTACTGAGCCCTGGGTGGTAGCTGCTTGGGGGAAGCAGCTAAAGGTTTCCTTCCGTGGGAGGAAGTCTTATCTTTTTTTTGCCATCAGCACCTGTGTTGAGTAACTATTTAAACAATGACTTCTGGCAGCAAAAAAAGAGAAGCTATATCTCCTCTCCACTGCTCCTACATCATGCATCATCAGTGCTGCTGTGCTGCCGTCATTGCTACCAGAACCAGAGCCATGGCAGGGAATGGCATGGCATGGGGAATGGGATGATGAGGCACTCACTTAACTCCATTCTGGTGCCCCTGCCTCCCACTGTTAGGCCCATTGGCCTACCCGTTGTTACACTATGGGTATTTGTTGTTTTGTGGCACTAGTCAGTTTGTCTATCTGATTCCCTTTGGTTTCCATCCAGAACCACCTAAAAAGCTCCATACTGGAACAGTGGCTGTGTATACATATTCAAATCATCCAAGACAGCTCTTCTAGATTTCGTTTCCTGCAAGAAAAACTGACCTGTACAGAAGTTCAGACAGAAGTAAAGAGCCTACAGTGTGAATGCTGGGCTCCCTAGAGCACACAGCCCAGACAGCTTTGCAGGCTTTTTATTAAGTTAATGAGGGCAGGGATCCCCAGGGCCAGCGAAGGTGTGTGGCATGGTCTGTGCTGTGCACAGAGGAGTTCTCCAGCTTTTCCCTTCCTCCATGCTGTGCTACACCTCAGCTGTGGCTGGACAGGGAGTATGCTTGTATGTGTCGTGGCCCCCAAATGCGGCAGTGTGATTCAGGCAGGGAACAAGCCAGGAGCAGAACACTACCCCTAAGTGCTTCAGCAGTGGGCTTTTCCATTTGGAGGCACCAGAGGGGCATGTTCTGCTCCCAGCTTAACTGGGACTCATGAATGCTCTCACTCCCACTATGGAATGGGGAGGAAAAAGCAGCAAAGCACACGGGCTACCTGTACAGAATTTCTGTCTCCTACTTTGGGAAGCCACTTCACTCTGCTTCTGAGTTATTTTTATTCCAGATGTCCGCTTTTGCTCTGGGAGAAAAAATATGAACTTCTGTACACTTATGGTTTCTCCTGAAAGATTAGGGACTCTCCCTGGATAAATTAAATGTCTGTCTAAGCCCTATGCTCAGAGCTAGTGCGATTTCTAGGAGGTGGGTAGAAATATGAAGGAAAAAAATGTATTAAAATCATTTTAATCTAACCAGGGACCCAAAAAACCTCACTGAAATGAACTGATCATTATTATAATTGCAATTACAGAACAGAACTAAAATGGCATAATTGTGAGTTTCCATACCTTAACATGTTTGGTTTTCGTTCGCATTGAACCATAGTGGTAAAATTCTGTTTAATTTTTTAATATTTTTGTGGGAATAATTAATGCATATTTTTGAATAATTAAAGCATATTTCTATCCTTAAATTGTTATTTGTACTTTGCACCCTTCCATTTTTCAGTAATTTTCCATCGAGGAATTAAATTCGGGTATTGTCAAATTGATTTTTCCAGAAAGACTTTGTGGATGATCCAAAAACTAGTGAGTTTGGCAAATATGAGATATGAAGCAGATGATACAGATTTTTGATGCTTCAAAACTGTTTGACATTAAGACTTATTTATCCTATATGTCACATAAAACAGTTGGATAAAATGACTGTTTTTAACTCCTCCTAGTTATTGGGGGAAAAAAAAGAAAAGAATTGGTCTGATTTTAAAAAGAAAACCAGCAGGACTAATATTTTGCTGGTATGAAAAACATTATTTTAGATCTGCTTTATATCTAGAAGAAGCAAAAAACAAAACAAAAAGCCCCCTAAAACCTGTATAGTATTTCTCAAGAATTAGTAAAGCTTTGGGACCTTGTCTGCCTAAAGCTTTGGAATGAATTTCTGTGACTTGATGATCTGCTCAGGTCCCTTCCAACCCTACCAATGATGACTTGAATCATTGTTTTTGCTGTTATTTGCTGCTATTAATCTAGTTCACCTGATATGTTTGGATTCATTAAATCTTTGGTTACATTTTACTGCAACTGACAAGTCTTTTGAACTTTGCACACAGAAATATTTCTAAAGCTGCAAAAAGCAGAAATCCTTTAAAGAAAAAATGTATGGGTCACCATTAATTGCTTGCCCTTGTCCCTGGTAGGTTTTTCAGTTTTGCTGTACAAGTTTACAGATAACCGGTGTCTTTGCTCCTACAGCTTTGGTGTACTTTGAATCATCTATATCTCTGAAGAGATTGGTGTTTATGGGCCTTTCATTTGTCTTGAGATAAGTCCTAGGGTTTATCTGATGCAGAGTGAGGCAGTGTGATAAACTTGGCAGTGTCAGAAGGCCTTTTGAGATAGCAGACTATTTTTTTTTATCAGCTTAAGGCCAGAAATCCAGTCAGATAGTATTTTCAGAGAAACAGTATTGCAGGTAAGCCAGTTCAGGTGTACACTGCACAATTTTGGAAGTAAAGTTAGGTTGGTGTGGGGCCCCACCTATGAAGAGGTATAACTTGTGACCAACACAGTAGTCAGCTGAAGGTCCTTGTGTAGATGTAACTTATGGTGATAGAAGCAAAGTTTTTTTCCAATATAGCTGATTCTGATTCTGGATTGGGGGCCAAACTAAACAGTTTTCAGCTGAGGAAGTTTTGCAGGTAGGGAAGCTGTAGCTATACTTGGAGTGATTTACTCTAGTTACGAGGATAGCTGTGCCAAGCGAACATTGGTCTTACCCTCTTATAGAGTGTCATGATTGTACCTTAGAGTCACCCCCCTTAACTTTCTTTCATAATCTTTGAGGAACAATCACAAAAAGGAATTGAAGGCAAAATGGTACAGGGAAAATGGAATTGATTTTGCTGCAGTTTTCCAGGTCTTTTTTCCATTATGTTTAATGTACAGTAGATAAGATTCTCACCCCCAGCCACCCCAATGGGAAATGTTTTGCATAGACAACAGCTCAACTTCTGAGACAGTTTTGTAGTGGACAGTGAGAGTCATCCTAAAACCTATGTAGAAAAAAATAGACTGAGAATTGGGACATGTTTTTTCAGACTGCAAGTTTAGTAGAGCAGAGGCTAGCACTGTATACATAAACCATGCGTAGAACAATAGCACCTCATCTTGACTAGGACCTCTAGGAATCATTAATACTAATTTTTATTCTGTACTTTTTTCCTTAGTCCCTATGTTCCCAAGAGAATTATCTTATTGAAAAAAGGTAAGAACTTTCACAATTAAAATTTAATTCCTATTTAAATTTTACTAATAAATATTAAGCTATTTTATTAAAAATGTCAACAGAATCCTGGAGGAGGAAACTAATAGTACACAGCAAAGACGGCAGATATTTAGGTATTTATTGCGTTATTTTAAATCCCCAACTGTTCTGCATGCATTTCACCTTCATATTTATATCTTATTTTGCAATGGGGATGTGTGTTTAAAGCTTAGTTTATAAATTACAGAGTCAATAAGGAAGCATCAGGAAGATCAGCCAACAGCCATCAAAGCAGTACTGAGAATGAGCTGAAGTACTCCGAACCCCGTCCCTGGAGCAGCACGGACTCTGATAGTTCCATCCGCAATCTGAAGCCAGCTGTAACCAAAGCCAGCAGCTTCAGTGGGATTTCGGTTTTGACAAGAGGAGATAGCTCTGGAAGCAGCAAAAGCACAGGCAGGCTGTCTAAGACAGGTATAATAAACTGTACAAGTAAACGGTTGTGTAATAGTTTATCCATACTTGATGCATATTGCATATGAGTACATAGACAGTCTTATAGCTGCTGCATTCCCAGAAATCCTATTGACTTCAATGGGTGTTGCATATAGAGGTTGACTACAGGATTAGGCCTACTGTACAGTACGTTCATAGAGTGAGAGAATTCAGATAGGCAGTGAAAAAGACCTCTGAACTCCTATTATGTAGGCAGTAGTGGTGAGTTATAGGATGTCTTTGCTAGCTCATGACGTTTATTCTGTATTCTGCAAAAAGGACTTGAAAGCATTTGTCAGCATAAAACAACAGGCTGGTCTGTTATAAATAAAAATAGAATTAAACTCTGTATTGTTTCAATCTGAATTCATTTCTTCAGTTTAAGTGTGGCAAACCTGAATTGTAGAATAATGGGAAGCTGCCTGTTGCTATGCCACTATTTAATACAAATTCAGTAGCAAAGTCTGTGACTCATTTTTTATATTTGTTGTGACCTTTTAATTACTAGTACTAAGAAATTATTTAGATGTGGGTAAAGTTTCCATTTAATTTAGAATACATCCCAGTAATCTAAGTCTTCAGCATAGCAAAATGTTTTACTGTGGGACTCAGAAAATTTGGGAGGATGTACCCTTCCTATAAGAGAGTGTGGTTCAAAGGTTTGCTAACTGGCAATTATTTAATGTGAAAGAGAATTTCAGAAGAGTTGTTCAAGTCTTGTTGGAATCAAAACTGATATAAATTGGTAGCCTCTTTAGTGGGTTGGACATGTTACCTATATTCCAAAATGAGCCACCAATTTGGCATTCTTTGCTGTGGAGAGCTTCAGGTTTTGAATTAGGTAGGCAGATATAATGATCAGATCAGACTTATAAAACAATAAAAGAAAGATGAGGGTTTTTTTTGTATTCATGCTTGTCTGTAGTCAGTGTATTAGAGTATTGTTTTTAGTGAGGATCTGTTAAACATTTACCTCCCTTTAAACCACCACTACCCCATAAGGAAATTGATGCTTTAATGCGTAATGTATTAAAATTAGTATTTTATGAAAAAATAATTGATACAGTTGTGTTGGTGAAATGTTTAGTAATCTTGTATACTTTTCAAAATCTGTAGCATGAATTTGGTTTATATAGTTTAGTAATTAAATAGCCTTCTTTGGTAACTTTTGAAAAGTTAATTACAGCTGCATCACAACATACATGGGGTAAGTTTTAGAAAGATTTTTACTATGCCACATTAAAAGAAAATAAAATACAAACAATATTTTTCATTGAAAAACTTTCATATTGGTTTAACTTCAGAATATCTGTGCTGGAGGTTATTGCTTTGCTGCATGTATTGGTTGTGGTGATTTAAAAAAAGGGGCCGAATGTATGTAACTTAGCTTTAATTATGTTGATTTCAGTCAGTCTGATTTTTCTGTATAATCTAGAAGTTGATACAGCTATAATCAAACTGTGAAAACAAAAAAGCAAGCAAGCAAGTGAAAACTGATTACAGTACTGAGATGCAGTAATTGTGGAATGGGCAAATTACTTAATTTTGTTGTGTCTCAGTTATTCTACCTGTAAAATAATACCCATCTGTATGTGCTTGGAGATGTATGAAACTTTTCACCAAAGTAAGAGTGAACTATTACAATTTCACATGGCTGCAAAGGCAGTTACAAGTAATTTAAAAATAGTTCCATTGATTTTAAACGATTGCTAGATTTCACCCTAGCATTGTTTTCAGTCTTACTCTCTCTTCTAGATTATATAGAGGCCACTGATCAAGAATACTTATGCTTAAATGTTTATATTTTCTGCCTTAAATGTTATACTGCTAGCATAGCAAAAGTAGACAATGATGAACTGTGCATTTATACAAATCTTTAGGAAAAGACAAGTTCTGTTAATTTACTGGTTAAACAATTGTGGAGGCAAGTGCAAGGAGCTTCCTAGGGCCTTGATTTATTAGAAGTTTGCTTTTAGCTGCATGTGTTGCCTGCCAACAACTCAGGGCCTGACTTTACTGCCTTGCACCTTATGTTGGTCGTGCTTATGCAGAGAGGTGTGATGCACTACCATTTTATTTGGTTGTGTTTCATATTCACTTTGCACTGTCGCGAGTGATATCTCAAAGTGCAAAGCTGTATAGATTTGACCCTCAGTTTACAATGGATCATAATTGCACTGTGAGGGAGGGAGGGGAAACTTCATTGAAAAGGCCATTGTTTAATACTGTAGCCACATGCTGTGTTTTGTATGCAGGGTAAGCATTTAAAATTATATATTTAAATGAGCATGCTGTTTATGTCTGTAGGTAAAAACAATTTCTCATTACTCCTTTCCTAGGTTCAGAGTCTTCTAGTAGTGTAGGGTCATCCACGGGTTCTCTTTCTCACACCCAGCAGCCTCTTCCAGTCACAGCTCTAAGCCAGCCTTCTCATGGCACACCTGCCGTCTATCCAACTGTCAGCACTAGTAATTCTCTTTCCTTTGATGGTGGCATAAGTGGGCAAGTGGCACCTACTAGCACTAGCTTCTTTTTGCTTCCCTTGGAAGCAGCAGGCATACCACCTGGCAGTATTCTGATCAACCCTCAAACAGGTTGGTATTCAGTTGTGGATGTTTTAATTGCAGTTTTAGAGCTCAGGAATAACCTGTAAATCGTTTCACTTGTGAGTGTATTTAAGTGTCGTCTTTTCCTTTTATTTTTCTCCTTAATTTTTGCAGTGTCATTTTGTGTTTGCTCAATGCAGAAAACGATTTTGATATGTAAAAATATAAGTTAAAACTGTATTTTTCTCTACTTGCTATAAATGTGGTTTGTATGTAGTATTCGAATGGACAAGTCTCATAATGAGTGTTAGACTCTCTATGGCTACTGTTAAGAAAATAGCATAACTTTGGTCTGTTTATAATTTTAAAGTCTTTTCTCTCAAAGTCTAATTTTAAAGTCTTTTATTAGTAAAAGTAAATAAACCTGAGATGATTAGTATTTACTCTTTTGATTTCTAAATCTGTTTCAACATGCTGGATTTAGAAAGCACTCGGTTATGTTTTTGGCAATCTGTTGCCAAAATGTGGAGAATAAAATGTTAGGTTACAGTAAACATTATCACATACAAGTTTTCAAAGTTATGCTTCCATCTTACTAAGTAGAGAGAGTGGTTACTCCACAAAAATGATGAGAGGTGAGGGGGAGGGGAGCCCTGTGTTACCTGTTGGTATTTGTCCAGTGGTTACAGAAATAATAATAATAGTGCATGCTTGGGTAACACTATCAGCGAAGTTCAACAGCACTTAAACATTTATGATTTAATGTATGTTTAATTGTATACGGCATGTTTTAAAAATTAGGGAAACTTTTGATATAATTTAAGTGTTATAAACACAAGACTTCAGGGTTTTTTCTTTTTTTTTTAATTCTGGAAAGGGAAGACAATGGGTGTATTATTTTTTTTTTTTTTTTTTAATGTTGGAAAGGGAAAAAAAAGGGTGTTTTTTTTTTTTTTTTAATGTTGGAAAGGGAAAAAAAAGGGTGTTTTTTTTTTTTTTTTAATGTTGGAAAGGGAAAAAAATGGGTGTTTTTTTTTTTTTTTTTTTTTTTTTTTAATCTGTGCCTGTAAGTGGCCACTTATTTACGTGCCATTATTTCACTTTTAAAAGAACCTTTTTACATTTAAATAAGACTGAAAATATTAGATGCTTTTCTAATTTACTTTTTCTTCAAATAAATTGGTAGTTACCAAATTACAGAGAAGGTTTAATATTATTTTGTTTATTATTGTGATAGTTACGAAAAGTTTCTGTCTTCCTTACAAAAGAAATGGCTACAATAAGCCATGCCTTAAATTGATAAGCTAGTGTTCAAACATAGCATGTGATTCACAATTCCCGCATGCTCATTATGATATGAAGATGATAAAGTTGCTATGCGAGGGCTTGGTCCTGGGGATGGTACTATACACTTCCCTGGTATAGTCATAAAGTGACAGTTGGTGGCCCACTAAGTTAATCATTTCTTGTTTCTGTTGACCATGCATCTGTGCTACAGTTAGTCATTAGCAAAGTGAAGCATTTGCACAAGAAAAATAAGCATTTTCAGGATTTGTGTATACCAGGGTTAAAACAGTTTGGACCGAACCAAGCATAGACAAGTTGCTTCCTAGCAAGTGAATGATGCTTTCTTTGCCCAGGGTTCTCAGCTAGTTTTAACTGTAGCATGGCTATAAGATCGTGGTGTATATAATTCCTCTCTAAACCTACATTCTTGGTATTTAATGCATTAAAGTTATCAGTTAGTTAACTTTCCTGTATTAACTGGGTATAATAGTGCCATGCTGTAAAAGTTTTTTTACAACAAAAATGAGTAAATGTTGCTGCTTTCTAAGGGACACTTCAACTTGAAATCATATTTTGAGCTGAAATGATTGTAAATAATATTACAGTTGTTTGAAAAAAATGTATTTGTTTTTAGAGATTAAAGGAAAGTTAATTTTCTGAAGGCTTTTTTCTAGTTTACATACTTTGTGTTTGACAGCATTTTGTATCTGATCACTTTCTGCTTTTTGTTTCCCTGGGTTGTGTTTGTGGGTCTTCTGTGTAGTAATAGATGGGGGGCACAAATTTATTTTTAAAGGAAGATCTACAGCGAAATCTGGTTCACAGTCACTAGAATAACTGTTCACAATGGTCTTAGAGCACAAAATCCTACTAGAGCCTTACTGGTTTATAACAGATTAACAAAGCTAATCCTAAATCAGTAGGATTAGCAAAAATCCTACTGATTCATACCGAACCATTTTGTGTACATGTTAAAGCAGAACTAGTCACTTCCAAATGTGGATGCTTACTAAATCAGAATGGAATTAATTCCTGATAATTAGTCAGTTCAAAAGATACTGGCTGTACCCTGCCAGCCAGCTAAAGTTTGGAAAGCACTTGAGACTCTTCAGCTTTTCATGGCTCAACAAGGCATTAGATGATCATTTGTTCGGTTTTGCAGACTTGTCCTCTATTTTTGGTGATGAGTGCATGTCAAAGTACAAAACAAATATCTTTGACTGACTGATTTTTTTAGTCTCTCATAATTATGTGATTCTTAAACAGAGCGTTCTGAATTTTTGTAGTAAGAAACTGTGCATTAAGTATTACCTGTATACAGTTCTTATAGTGAGCCAGAGGACACAGTTTGCACTCGGAATATTTGTAGCATTTTTTTCCTTTATTACAAGTGTCACAAGCAGGTGTTGGCTACCTTTTGCTACCATGGCCAGAGCTCAGGCCACCTACACTTACCCTCCTTGCATATACCCAGCTCCTCTGCAGTGAGGGTAAGCACAGCCACAAGAGAGCGACATGGAGGGCTGCGGAAGAGTGTGTCGTGGAGAGGATGAACTTCATGGCATGTTCCGATCCACTTGATTTTCCTCTGTGCTGTCCCAGGCCACATCAGACCTTCCTGGGTTGGATCCAACCTCTTTGGGGAATGGATTCAACTTACAAGCCATAGGTTGATGTCCCTTGTTTAAAAACAGTCCCATTATATCTTGTTATGGCATGCAAAATATACCTTATACAAAAACTAAAAATGGCTAACTACCGATAACTAGTCAGTGATGAGTAATTAGCCATCATTGGAGTGAATTAACCAGATTTGACTGTAAATGTGAACTTTCCTAAATTCACAGAGAACTTAACTGGTTTTAGTAGTACTGTACTCGATACTACTTTTAACTCGGTCTTTAAAATTGGCTTGCGTTCAGTTTGTTTCAGGCTGTATCCCTTTTATATATTTTAATTTTGTTTACAGTGTAGGACATCTAGATGATACATATTTCAAGAAAGAACCCTTCAGTTGTAGTGGCTGAATGAGCTTTACACCCTCCCTGAGCAGTGTGAATAACAGCGATATATAGGGTCAGATAAAGTCCTGTATCGTAACTAATATTTATGCACAGATGAATTATTAAGAAAAATGATGGATTGTTTTTAGCTCTTTGAGAGCTTGAGAGAGTAGATAGCATAGATTAATTTCTCACCCTCCTTCACAGTGATTTCTGCACTTAGAATTCCTTTACCCTCCTGCTTGTTCACCACTGGAAAAAGGTGAAAGAACCTTCATTCCTCATCAGGGTAGGGAGGAGGTTGGCCTTAATGAGCCTAGGAGCAGAGAAGAAAATCCTTGACTCCTTACAGATGTGAAGATCACTGGAATGCCAATTCCTGAGTTATAAAGAGAAATATTAGGCCAGAGCTGGGTCCAATATGTGACTGAAAATTTGCAAACACTGGCCACATCCAGTTGTGCTTGGAAGTTTGGTTCCCCAGGGACAACCAGCAGCTGCACACCTTGTGCTACTGCTGGTTGTCCCCAGGGAACGCCTGTGCTGCACACCCTCTGGGGGCCTCCCAGGGCTGCAGCAGCAGCGATCCTGCTGCTCGGAGCCTGGCCAGCAGCTGCAGTGCGATTCCAGCCAGCCTGGCTCTGATTTTGAGTGGCGCAAGCAGCCCCCACAATCACTGCTCCAATTTTTTTTTCCTGCAGCTTTTTTTGACCCCCGGATATCCAGGGTTCAACCCCCCTGTGCTGTTCCCTTGCAGCGCAGAGAACAACTGAACATGCAGTATGTGGCGCTGCAGAAGTCTGCAGCACCATGTACCGCACAGCCACACACATCTGGTTGTGGCTACTGGAGTCTGTTTGAGCCATTTTATTTGTTCTTTTCAATCTAAGTTCTAGTGTGTGCCCCTTTTTTGAAATATCTGGGCATGTGAGAATTAATTTTTTTTTTTTGTCTTTCTAAGAATGTGACCCAGTCTATACATAAAACTACAGAAGGTTTCATTAGCATAAATCATGTAGCTAATATTTTTATACATTGTTTATGTTCTGTTTCCTTGCTGCATCTTGCTTAGCTTGAACAAAGAAAGGTGTTAGTCACATTCACCTTGTTTTTGGCCATCTTTTAAACATGGTCACTTTTTTTTTTCTCCATTGCAAGATAATGTAACACTGGGGCTGCAAATATTGGATAGGAGCATTATATTAAACAATTATTTCAATTGATATTTAAAACATTCACATTGGCAGGTGGCTTTTCAAAATATTATCATCATTAGCTGCAAGAAAGTAATTGTAATTAGTATTTTACGGGGAGAGAAGTAATTTATCTCCCTTTATTATTACATTTTGGCTGGTGGATTTATGTCCCAAGATTTGACAGCTTGCAGCCCATGGGCTGTATTCAGCCTTTGAAGAGGTCTGATCCAGCATGGGGTGGGATTAGTGGCATGGAGATGCACCATGCTAGTCATCCCCTTCCCGGCACTCCTCTTTGTTGTGAAGTGTGCTGTTCCATCACATATGCATTTGCCCTCGCTGCAGAGGGAATGGGGAATAGCAGTAAGGCTAAGCAGAGGCAGCTGGCTGCTCTGGGGGCGAATACTTGTGGCCCATGGTGAAGCTCTGCATTAGCAAAAGATTGCTGACCCCTGTCCTAGGTGATTGAAATTGGTTCCTGGAATTACTTCTGCAAGATTCATAAAACAGATGTCCTTCTCTCATCTTTTATTTTTCTTCCTACATTTCTTTCAATCCACATAATTGAAAATTAACTTTGAAGACCAACCCCAGTACATATTCATCATCCATTTTAGTCTACATTTAGTCTTTGCTAGCTTATTTTAGGGCATGGTAGTTATTTGCCACAAAAATGCATGTATTTATAATTAAATACTCTGTCAAATGAGTTTTGTGGTTATTGCCATTCTAACTGTAACTGCAGTCATTAAGAAATTATAACAAAAATCTGGCATATAATACAGTAGTTGTGGTTGTTATATATTCAAGTTTCAGTAATTTTTTTTACTTTGTGTTATGTAATACAGTCAGGTCAGTCTGCCTCAAACCTGAATAAAGTTTGTCTTTTTTTTTTTTTTTTCTTCCCTCCACCCTCTAGGTCAACCATTCATAAACCCAGACGGCACTCCAGTTGTGTATAACCCTCCTATGCCTCAGCAACCTGTCAGAACCCAAGTGCCTGGACCTCCACAACAGCCACCTCCTCCCCCACCACCCCAGCCGCAGCCAGCAGCTAATCACATCCTATCACAGGTGCACACGTCAAATACCTGATGCCCAACTGAGCAGTCTTTCCATCTAACGATAAGGAAATGATAGACTGTTTTGTTATGGAATGTGTTAGCTAGCCGTATACTTGTAACTGGATATGGAGATCTAGGCCTACAAACAACATGGCAGGCCATCATATTTTCCTCTAGCTTATAGAAAGCAGAAATAAGAACTGGAGAACAAAAGTATTTGAACCAGAGCTCAAATGGTAAACTTTTAACAAGAGACCCACTTTCCTTTTGCCTTCTGCCTACTCTGTCAGTCAGACTAGTTTACTTTAACGTGGAGGGCTGCGTTCCACCTCGTTCTCACTCGCAAATATCTTATAAACCAACTTCATGACATTTTTAAAGGATTAATTTGTATATTTGATAGCAGTTAATAACAGCACTGTAGAACGGAATGCATTTTAACCTCCTGGTTCTGGGTTACTGGTGAAATAGAAATGGACCAGTTAAAGAAAGAGCCAAATCTGCAAAATAATCCTCTCTTGCTCCTCACCGTTCCTTCTTTACAGCAGTAATTCCTGGCACCAAAGCCAAAGTTGTTGTCTCATCAGCCATAAGCAGTGAGATGTAGCATTTTTCAGACTTGCTAGGATGTTATTTAGGGAACCTTTACCTTCACTTTTGTCCTGGTTTATTTTCCTTATGTTATATCCTTTGCCCAGTGTGCTCAAGCTGTACCTGCACTGTAGCTTCACCTCTGTTCAGAGTTGACTATCTTGTGGAAATTAAGGCTTGCCTGTGCACCCTGTTATCTGCATGTGGTATACTAAAGCAGTAAAGCATGCACCTTTTTCTTCCCTCTGAGGTTAATAATTGCCTTTTCCGTAACAGCAGCAGGTTCTGGAGACTTTCTTGTATGATACAATACTCTCACATTAAATATACCCTATTGTGCAAGAAATTGCTATGCCAAAGCTTTTTTCGCTTTTACAAAATATATTATTCATATACTGCAAGTCTTGTTAGTAATGATAATACCTTGGAATACTTAGTGTTCCTACTATACTTAATACTGTAGTAGTGATAAATTTCAAGTGTATTTCACAGGATATCTTGAAGTGCTGTGTTTTGATCTATGTTTAGTACTTGTTTAATTTGAGTTTAAAAAGTATGAGGCATCCTGATTACTTTGCGACTTGAAAACAAAATATTTGTATATAACTATTGAATGTGTCATTTTAAAATTAAGCCAACCATTTGCTGCTTTATTTTACAGTAATATAAAACAATTATAAGCAAATTCCCACTTCTATTAGGAGATAGATGCATGTAAAACCACTTTATTTTTTACTATATGCAGCATTTTGATTTTAAATAATTTCCAGTTGTGTAATTTTTAATATCAGTGTTTAAATAGTTGTCTTACAACATTGAAAAAGACTAATTGGTTCCTCTTTTTTTTTTACTTGTCTGTTTACATTGGTATTAACTGTGTTTATGAAACTACTACTTCTTCAGCCTATCCGGCCTCTGCAATCCTCTTCACAGCCTGTTCAGTACTCTACCGTCTCTTATCCACCCCCGCTCCTGCCAGTGTCATCTACCCAGCAATATACTGTGGTACTATATTTTCTATTCATCTCTTCTCTGCAAAGGTGATATTAGTGGATGTTGACCTTTGGTTAATTTGTGTGTGTGGGTGTGTTTAACACAGATGTTGACTGGCTATAGTTTCAGCTGTAGTAAAATATTGCCTAAGCTGGCAAAATAGTGCCTAAGATCCTGGCACTACCTGAAGGTTGAGAATAACATGTACTATTGAGGAGAGGGGATTTTTTTTTCCTCTCAGGAGGCAGTTCTTCACTCCTCTTGTCTCCATAGCCGGTCATTCTTTATTTTGTTATACCTCTTGATTTTCATCTTGCCCCTTTTCCATTTCTTCCCAGCTATTTCTTTCTCTGTCTGTTCCCTCTCCCTGCCTTGTTGTCTTTGTGTAGTGCCGTGTTTCAGCCAGAACAGTAAAGAGCTCTGTTTTCCAGTTAAGTCCCAAAAACATCTTCACGCAATGAAAATTGAAATGGTAAATGTTGCTTCAGCTGTGCTGGCCAGCTCTTCTTAGCAACATTTCCTCCTTAAATGCTAACACTAGCTTTCGTGACGCATAGTCCTAAAATGTTAACTATATGGGTGAACAGATCTGGCTGTCTTAATGCCAACTGGCATTGAGGGATGAGATTTACTGGCAAACAGATCAACTGACTAGGGGCTCCTGATGGTGGCATTTAGTATCAGGGGCTCATGTCAGCCAAAAGTTTGCAGGAGATTGTAGTGAATAGCTTGATAAAGAATGTAATCTAATAAGGAATATCCCTCTGATTGAAATGACAATTAACCTGCTCAGTTAAATTAATAAAAAATCCAGAGTTGTTAATTATATATACAAAAAGGGTGTGAGAGATGCTAACAAAAACACAGGATGTGGTAACATTTTGGGGTTTTACCATTTTTGTTTGTTTTTTTCATAGATTCATAGATTAAGGGTCGGAAGGGACCTAGTAGATCTTCTAGCCCGACCCCCCCGCCAGGGCGGGAGAACAACCAAAAAACCCCAAAAAGAGAAACGGGATTTTTAGTGTCTAGAAACAATTGCAGTATAGGTTCTGGTAATATCCTTTCTCTCTCTCTTTTTTTACTTGCCTTGAAATGGTATCTGATAGCAACAAATATTTCAGCTGTTAATACCTTGTATCATCACAATGCCAGTCACAAGGCAGGATAGTAGGGGTGTGCGAAATGGGCCGTATTTGATTCAGGTTTAGATTTAGCCTGAATCAGGAGACAGTGATGCTGTTCAGCCGAATCTGAAGATTCAATGCTGATTTGGAAATCAGTGATTCGGCCATAGACCCAGCTTCAAATGGTTTTTTTTTTTTTTTTTTTTTACATATCTCGAGGTACCAGGTGTGGCTCGTGAACGCTGAGATGGTGGGGGGGATGGAGCGTCCCACAGGAGTGCAGGGGGGGCCCCACGTGCTGAGTGCAAGACCTAGAAGTGGACTGGAAGTACTTCTGGTCCACTTCTGGGTCCACCACCAAGCACACGGGGAACCCCCCCGTGTCCCCCTGGATGAGACCCAGACCCAGGAGGCACGAGTCACTGGGAAAGGGGGGCCCCCCATGTGGTCTATGGCAAACCCGAAGTGGACTGGAAGTACTTCTGGTCCACTTCCGGGTCCATCACCAGGCGCACTGGGGACCCCCCCCATGCTCCCGTGGGATGCTCCATCCACCCCAGCATCTTGGCTTTCATGGGCTGCCTGGTACCTTGAGGTATGTAGAATAAACATTTAAAGCTGTGTCTGTCCGAATCATCAAAATCTCTCTGAATTGAATAGGAGAGATAAAGGGTCTCCTGATTTGATTCAGATTTGGATATTCGGCTGCTGAATTGGGCCGAATCTCCGCTGAATCGAATCAGCAACCAAAGCTTCACACAGACCTATAGGATAGATATGTACCTTTAGACTAACTAAATAAGATATGTGTATATGTTCCTATAGAGAGAGTGAGTGAGTGCACAAGCTTTCACAAACCCAAGTTCTCCTTGTCAGATGCTTTGAAAGGATGTACAGAAAGCATTATAAGGAGGAGAGAGAAATTAGAATACAAAAGACAGGTGTTGGAGGTAGGGGGAGGGGAGTAGTGCTGGGAAACGGAAGCAAATGAGCAATAAACCCATAGGAACAAAAGGGGTAACAAAAGCTAATCCAGGTAATGAGATAAAAATCCATAGTCCCTGGTAAACTATTAGGCTGCTGACAGACATGAAAAAAACCCAAAACAAAACAGTACTTTACTGGAGGAGGCAGTGCATTAATTTGACCCAGCTCCACAGCATCTATAAAATCGCATGCTTCAGCAGGGCATTTTTGGCACTTTTATCTACTAGCTGATTCAGTCAGCTAGTAGATAAAAGCACCAAAGAAGCCCTGCTGAAGCGCCTGATCTATACAGACACTGTGCAAGCCGGATCAAACTAATGTGATGCCTCTTCTGGGCATGCGCTGGGCTTGGTGCGGGGACACGCAGAGTTTAAAGTAAAGCACTATTGGGATTTTTTTATTTTTGTTTGGTTTTTTTTACATCTCTAAGCAGCCTTACAGGTTAGCTTCCACATACTGCAGAGTAGAGCAGATGGATTGCTCTTCAATGCAGCTGAATTGCTCTTAGTTCTTTCTCTCTCCCAAATCAGTATAATTGTTTAATGAATCCAAATGTATTTTGAAGTCCTGCACACCTAAAGAAGTACTCTGAGGGCTCACAACTGACCATACATGTCAGCAATGGATCATTATGCCCTAGTGTTGAAAACAGTATGTATGGGACAAAAACATTTTCAGCACTAAGGCAAGAAGTGTTCTTCAGTTTCCAACTGAAGTATCCCCTTCTATTTTAGCAGGTAAACAGTTTCTACCCTAATGGTTGAGGCCCATTATTGATAAGCTTGGCCTTTTAGGTTTTGTACTTCTGTGTTTAAAAATGTTTATTGCATTCACTGGGTATGATACCTTCAGAGTGCTCTGCAAACATTAGTACAATAGGGATGTGAGATATGTAGAAATATAGTTTTGTATTTGGCTAATGTTGTAACGTAGTCCAGAAATACATTCTTTAATAAAGAATGTGCAGATGTGCCTTAGTTCATTGAGCTCCATATCATCAAAAGTACTTGATTAGTTACTATTATATATATTTAAATGTACAGTTTTGAAAGAGGAAATAACTTCACTATAATTTTATTTTTTACCATAAGATTCTTTGATTTGTGTTTCAAATTTTTGGGATCTCAACATTAGTCACACTGTAACATTCCCTTTTCAGTATGGTGCTCAGCTACAGTATTCCCCACCTCTTCCCCAGACCAAAGACTGCTTGCTTTAGGGAATAGGTTGGGGACTTTCCCTCCTGTTCCCTCTGCTCCTGAGGAAGCTGTAGGCACCAGCTTTCAAGTTGCATTTGGGGATCTAGCTGCCCCCCGCACCGCACTTGGGTACTGCTCCTACAGCCCTACATCAGGGCTGTGGTCACCAGCCTTGAAATGGTGCACCACTTTTCCCAGGACTGGGAGATGTGGAGCAACCTCTGCTCCTCACACCTTCCTCATGCTGGAGTAGTGAAGAGGGGGCAGTTGCAGGAAAATTCTCAAAAATTTCCACCACTAGAAATGAACACTTGTTTCTGACCACGTGTTGTATTCAACAGGCTGGTTGGTGGCATTCAGTTTGGTCTGGTAATAGATTCGGAGCATTTCACCTCTGGGTCACCAGTTCAAATGTGAACCAAGCTGGTAGTCTTCAAAATGTATTTCCTACAGATGGCTGGTAGTAAAATAAGCTGATGGTCTCTGTCCAGAATATATGTGATAAGTGCCCATAACCCATAAAAAGACCTGCAGTTTCCTTTTAGTAGTAGTATCAACAGAAGGATATGGTGAATGGCCCATAAAAACTGAATTGCTATGTGATCTTTGTCGGGTGAACTCTTCCAGCTCGTAGTTTAGTTATACTGATAGTGTGATGTAAATAAGCTTCTCTTTTCTCAGCCAGTACTGTGTTGAAATAGTTGGAAAGGTGTTCATACTCCGATTTCAATCTCTTCAGGAACACTAGCTTCCTTCTAAATTATGCATCTTGAAAAGCAGACCTTGAGTTAAAATGTGTGCGTGCTGAGGGCTGAGCTTGAGAGCTGAGTCGATAGGCAAGCAATGAGCTAAAACAATAGTTAAAATATTACAAATAGTTTTCAGTATAATGAAAATAATAATAATACCAATAATTTCATTAGGAATATGCTCAGCTTTAGCATTATTGTATTTTGTGGTGTAAAGTGTGATGTAGTTCTGCAAAATACAGGAGTCACACAAAAATGTAAGGAAAATACTTGTATGTAATTCGGATGATTTTCTAAATCCATTATCTGCTTTGCAGAATGAAGAACTTATATTTCAGCCATTTGATCTTCTTCATTGCAAACTGAGGAAGGCCAGGTGTCCATAATATAGCTATGGCATGATGTCTGTGTATGCCACTGCCTTTTTTTAAAGTCCAAGATTGAGGTGTGAAGTGAAGCTTCCAGGTTAAAAAAGACATAATATGGAAAGAGTTGGAACTTCACTGAACATTTGCAGTGTCTATAACATGGACCCCAATCCTTAATCGTAGAATATCAGTGTTATCATGCTACAAATAAAAATAAATGACACACACACTCGTTGAAAATTGAAAATAAAGTCCCTTTCCTGTTCAGTAATTTTTTTGTATTTTTTTTATCTTGCTCTGTAAAAACCAAAATGCAAAATTAGATTCATCAGCACTTATTCAGGACTGATATAGCCTCATTAGTGTTCTTCTGTGGCAATGCTATGTGCATCCTGCTCTTTCTTTGAGAATTAAGTATTTTCACTTGGCGTTTTGCTTCAGATCAGAAAATACTGATAAATACAGTAATTGTGTAAAATACAACGATTGTGGAACTAATTTATAGCAGCTTGATATTTTACCCTCACAATATGGAGAATGACATACCTAAATAAAACCTGTTCTTTGTTTCAAATATTAAACCTTGAAATGATTCTATATTTGAGCATAATTTCTCCACAAATTACCTTAATAATAATTCCTATGTTCTGTTTCTGTTCTGAAGCATTACTTGTCATTATTTTTCTTTACGTTGTTAATACCATATATAACTGGATGTTGTCATTTTTCACTTACTGAAGAATTGACCTAACAAGTACTCTTCACCTATTTTCAAAGTGGAATTTAATTTTACCATCTTTTTTTTTTTTTATCATTATAGCAAGACAACCTAGGGTCACAATTTAGCCATATGAGTCTTGCTCGCCAGCCATCTTCTGATACTGCTGAAGCTCACACCATGTTCCAGTCCACTGTAGTACTTCAGCCCCCACAGCAGTCTGGCTATATCATAGCAGCAGCCCCACCTCCTCCACCACCACCAAGCCAACCAGTTCCTGCTCCTGGCTATTCTGCATCCAGCCATCCTGTTAACCAGCAGGTGCTCCAGCAGCAGGGATATATGCAGCAATCAATATCACAGGTATATAAACTGTGTTTTCCCTTACAGCACAACTTAAATGTTGGCCATGGCATCATTAATAAGCATGTTAATTAAGGGATTAAGCTAATACAGGGGTATTAAACATACAGCCAGCTAAGCTACTGGCAGGCCTAGTAATTTGGGGTATAACTAGGGGTGGGCATAGCCTGACACAG